TCGTTTTTATAAAATACTTGCTTATACCCGCGGGTTTCGCCCCACGTTTTTATACAAATATGAAGAATAATTTGATGATGTTATATTTTATTTCTGTGCACATTTTGTTATAGCTCTATATTTTTTAAGCGAGTTAAGGTATGTACGCCGTTTAAAACTATGAAATTAAAAAATCTCGTCTGCACGATAGGCATACGAAAATATCAATCCCTCTAAGTTTACCTTAAAAAGGTTCCAGAGATACTCCGCATGAGCGTGTATCCTTCTGAGAGGTGCCACGGCTGGTTCTAATATTTCCAACTCAAATTTAGTAACCTGGCCTTGATAAAATACCACTTCTCAGTACTGTAGCTAAATGCTTCAAGAGGTATGTATGCATCATGAGAGCTTTAGATTATATGGCCGAAGCCGGCTCTCCCTTTTCCATTAAATGAATTATTTTCTGTCAGTACGGCACTTATAAAATAAATCTCCATAACAAATTTAAAATACTTCCAGAGATTTTCTATCCTTCCAGAGATATGTATTATGAAAGCTTTAGTATGTATGGGTGGCGACATGCCTCCTTTTCTAATAACTCACATTTTTTCCATGAGCAATTGATAAATTTTGTATACGCAACTCCATACCAAGTTCCAGTATCCTTCCACAAACACTTCCAGGGCTATGTGGCAAGAAAAAGTCAAATTATACGGGAAGTACCACGCCCATTTTTCTTATAACCCAAATTTTCTTCCATGAGTTTGGAATTGGTTTTATATACCCCAGTACCAAATCCCAATACTCTACCATGAACACCTCTAGAGATATGCAGAATAAAATAGTAAATTTGTACGAGAGGTACCACGCCCCCTTTTCAAATAACGAAAATTATTCTTCATAAGTATGGAATTAATTTTGTATATAGATCTCGGTGCCAAGTTCCAGTCCTCTGCCTGCAATAAGCACCTCCAGCGATATGCAGCATAGAAAAATCAATTTGCATAGGAGTTGCCACACCAACTTGTCCAATAACTCTAATTTGTCTCCCTGAGTATGGGATTAGTTTCACATGCATACATACATATGTATTTCCATACCATGCTTGAGAACTTTACCCCAAATATTTGAAGAGATATGCAATATGAAACTTTCAGTCAGTATGTGAAGAGGCGTACTCTTTTCCAAAAACGTCCATTTTTCTATGTGAGTATGAATTTGATTTCACATACATTTCTCCATACCAAGTTCCAGTTCTCTCCCACAAATACTTCCAGAGATATGCATGTATTATGGAAATTCCAATTTGTATGGGAGTCCTTGAGTTATCGGAATTACTTTCAGTCAAAGAGCACCCTTGTAAAATCCGTAGTAAGTGTGTCAAATTTAGTTGTGATCGGGAAACCGTTTAAGGAAGTAGTCTATTTTTCAGCCCAGGTCATAAAACATCTGTATGCAAAATTTCATTTTCAACAGGTGGGAACTCTTAAAGAAGCTGCCTATTTTCCAATCCAGGTCCTAAACTATATGCGTGAAAAATTTCATGGGAATTCGTTCAGACGTTTCCGCGTATTAATTTAATTAATCTTTTTTAGCAGATGGCAACTCTTAAAAAAAATTAGCATATTTTCAAATCTAGGTCATGAGCTATCTGTGTGCAAACTTTCATGCAAATCAGTTCAGTCATTTCCTCGTATTAATATAATTAAACTTTTTCAGCACCTAGCAACTCTTAAAAAAGTAGCCTATTTTCCAATGTTTCAATTTCATGCAACAGTCGTTTCCACGTATTAATTTAATTCAACATTTTTAAAAGGTGGCAACTCCTAAGAAAAGTAGCCTATTTTCCAATCTAAGTCATAAGCTGTCTGCGTACAAATTTTCATGCAAATCCGTTCATTCATTTCCGCATATTAATTTAATTAAACTTTTTTAGCAGGTGGTAACTCTTAAAAAAGTAGCCTATTCTCCAACTTAGGTCATAAGCTATCCGTGTGCAAAATTGCAATCAGTCGTTTCCGCTTATCAATTTAATTATTTTTTTTTTTAACAGGTGGCAACTCTTAAGAAAAGTAGCCTATTTTTCAATCTAGGTTATAAGCTATCTGTGCGCAAAATTTCATGCAAATCAGTTCAGTCATTTTCGCGTATTAAATTAATTACACTTTTTTAACAGGTGGCAACTCTTATTATTGTCCAATCTGGGCCATACGCTATCTGTTTCAAATATGGTAAATGCATAACAAAGGGTTAATTTCTTTGTTTACATTTTTTGACATTACAGTCAGCTATGAGAGAGCTCGAAGGAATTGTCACTTCTACCTTTTTGAATATGCCTTGGTTTTACCTTTAAATACTTGTATCATGGTACCCGTGGTACAATAATTACAGGTATTGTCTTCCCAGAGAGCGCATATTGCGATCTGCCTTATTTAAAAAACATCATTGTTGCCCACACTAAAAGGTTTACTGCTACGGAAAAGGGATATTTCCATACCCCATATACCATATATGTATGTACACGTATTTTTTAAACAAACCTTCTTGCAGAGGACTTATGTATTTAATTTGCAAAAGCCGAAAAAAACGTTTGCTTAGTAATAAATTCAAAATTTGTATGGCTCACTTCATTTCAAATAATTTTTCGTTTGTTTTGAAAAATTATAAAAATGAAATTGAGCGAAAACAAAAAACAAACCAAATAAAAGTACAAGAATCAACATTGAATTGCGTCAAAATAAAAATAAGGGAGCACGAATTTCGATGTGAAGCAAAACTTTCTAGGAAGACAATACCTGTAATTATTGTACCATGCATGGTACCTTTGTTTTGAATGTACCTTGGGTCAAGGCATGGCGTATTGTCTTCACAGAGAGTTTTGCTTCACATCGAAATTCCTGCTCCCTTATTTTCATTTTGACGCATTTCAATGTTGGTTCTTTTTCTTTTATTTGGCGTTGCTTTTTGTTTTCGTTCAATTGCATTTTTATCATTTTTCAAACCAAAAGAAGAAACGTTTGAAACAAAGTGGGCCATACAAATTTTGAATTTATTTACTAAGCAAGGTTTGTTTAAAAAAATACGTGTACATACATATGTATATAGTATATGGGGTATGAAAATATCCCTTTTCCCTAGCAGTAAACCTTTTAGTGTGGGGAACAATAATGTTTTTCAAATAGGGCAGGTCGGAATATGCGCTCTCTGGGAAGACAATACCTGTAACACTGGTCTACAAATTTCAACTTTTTTTCTGCGAATAAGACGGGACCTGGTGTTTCTGAACGGATTTTTCGTGCTGAACACGAATCCGGGGTCAAAAATGTCCCATCACGTCACGTTTTCGAGAAAAAAGGGGTTGAAACCCCTAAAAACAGCGTTTTTGGCCATTTTCGAAAAATTATAGAGCTGAACCCTGACGTGGTACAAATTTTGCATATATCAGAAATTAAAGGCTAAACCGTGCCCTTTCGAATGAGCCCTATGCCGAATTGATCGCGTGCACCCTTAAAGCAGGGGGTGTATTTGTGTTTAGGGGTGCAGGAAAAATTGATCACAGAAAGAATTTAATCTTAAACGATCATAGAAAATTAATAATGCCAAGGTTTTAACTATATTAAAAGTCGCTGATTACGAATCTGCAGTTAGATTTTAAAAATTTAAGATGACGGGTCGAATATGGTGGATATAAAAATTTCACCCCTAGACACAAATACACCCCCTGCTCCAAGGGCACATGCGATCAACTTGGCATAAGGCTCATTCGAAAGGGCACAATTTTACCTTTAATTTCTGACATATGCAAAGTTTGTAGCACGTTAGGGTTCGGCTCTACAATTTTTCGAAAATGTCCAAAAACGCTGTTTTTAGGGGTTTCAACCCCTTTTTTCTCGAAAACGTGACGTGATGGGAAGTTTTGGACCCCAGATTCGTGTTCAGCACGAAAAATCCGTTCGGAAACACCAGGTCCCGTCTTATTCGCAAAACCCTTGTAGACCAGTGTAATTATTGTACCATGGGGTCAAGGTACATAAAAATAGGTAGAACCGATTTTGACGTTGCTGTCATGAGAACCAAACCTTTAAACTTCAACTTGATTTATTTTTATTTCTTATATTTCTTTACTCTTGGAAATGTCATGTCGTTTTATTTTGAATGTTCGTTAATTTAAAATTTTAATTTACTTTTGAATTCTGGTAGTGTTGTGCGGTTTAAACTTTTGTAATTGTGCGGTTTATACCAATATGGAATGTGCAATAATTAATTAAGTGGTGCGAAATACTTATAATGCACACACCACTAATTTTCTTAACTGCCTCAATGTTTGTTCGCGGTAGGAGCGATGGGAAAGCAGCTGTGGCGTAGAGCCTAAGGCCTAAATGCACCGGGAGGTCCAGTAAAAGCACGTTTGATGCCAAGCGGTGTTCCTATGACACTGTAGGGACTAGCCCTTACACTGGCACGGTAGTACATTCAGGTGGCAACACTGAGCTGGATGAAGCAATGTCAATTTTGAATTTTAACCGATGCACGTCAGCTAACTTCACGCTAAAATAGATACACAATTTAATTTGAGATCTTTTTTGTTGCAACACATTCGTTTTGTGAGAATTTTATTTGACTTAAATTTGCAATAAAGAAATATAGAATCGAGTTCTATAATTGGTAAGGACCGATTCGAAGACGCGGCTACTCCAGTTCATGTGGCACGGCTCGCCCTTAAGACCCCACCGTTTTGGAAGCCAAATCCCCGGCTGTGGTTCGCGCAGGTTGAGGCGCAGTTTGTACGTGCAGGAATCTCCACCGACGGGCCCAAGTTCTAAACTGTAGTGGCAGAAATTGATTCAGCGGTGTTGGCACATGCTAGCGACATAATTACGTCACCGCCGGCTTCAGGGAAGTACGAACTCTTGAAAGAGCGGCTGATTACGGAGTTTGAGGAATCGAATGAGAAACGTTTGAAACGATTATTTGAAGGGTGCAGATTGGGAGACAAAAAAGCCACAACTTTGCTGCGCGAAATGAAAGACTTGACTGATCAACACATTGACAAAGAAGTTTTGAAGACGCTTTGGTTACAACGTTTACCAACTAATATCCAGCAAATTTTAGCAACGTTCGATGGCAGCATCGAAGAATTGGCTTTGAAAGCTGACACTATAATGGGAATTTCTGCAACAAATGTTGATGTTAATGTGGTCAAGGTACCGGATGACGGCATGCAAGCTGCTATCTCCGACTTGACGAACAGGCTAGATCGCCTCACACTCAATAATCAACGCAACTTCGTCCGCAACGACCGGAGCTACACGAATAACGTGTCTCATTCGCAACGACCTGTTAGTTCTCGGCAGGGCTCATCTACACCGAAACAGGACACTCTTTGTTGGTATCACCGTACGTTTCGCGACAGCGCAACCAGGTGCCGCTCGCCTTGTACTTATCGTCAACAACGCGCGGAAAACTAGTTAGTCCGCCGTTAAAAGCGGCCACAACGGAGGCTAACACCAGCTCGTGCCGCCTTCACGTGCGAGACAAAAGTACATCATTAAGATTTTTAATCGACACTGGCGCCGAAGTGTCTGTAATGCCCAAGCACAGTGGCGACGATACGGACATACTATGAAGTTAGTAGCTGCTAACAATACTTTTATCAACACCTATGGTAAGAAGCGCATCACTTTAGATTTAGGTTTACAGCAAACATTCTCTTGGGTTTTTATTATTGCTGACGTAGCATTTCCGATATTGGGTGCCGATTTTTTACAATATTACAATATATTGGTAGACGTAAAAAGCGAGGCAATCATACACCGTACAACGAATTCGCAGACCATCTGTCAGATAATGAAACTAACACGCAGCATTATCTCATTAAGAGAGACTGATGCATTTCAACGCATTTTAGCACGTTTTCCTGACCTCACCAGCGATGCAGCTCAGCCCAAGAAAACCCAAACGACAGTAAAACATTATATAGAGACAAGAGGTGCACCCGTCGTGCAGAAAGTACGTCGTCCAGAAAAATTGGAAATCGCAAAAAGGGAATTTGAGTACCGGTTAGATCGTGGAATTTGTCAGCGCTCGAAAAGTCAATGGGCCAGCCCGTTGCACATGGTGAGAAAGTCGAATGGTTCCTGGCGCCCATGTGGCGATTATCGACGTCTGAACGCTGTTACAATCCCAGATAGCTACCCTGTGCGCCATATTCAGGACTTTGGTAGTGATTTACACGTTAAAACGATATTTTCCGTGATTGATTTCAGAAAGGCTTATCACCAGATTCCGGTGCATCCGACAGACGTGCCGAAGACGGCTATACTCACCCCATTTGGGCTGTTTGAATTTAAATTCATGGCATTTGGCCTGAGAAACGCCGCTCAGACATTCCAACGCTTCATACACGAAGCAGTCAGAGGACTGTCATTTGTATTCCCGTATTTGGATGATGTACTGGTGGCATCTTCTTCGCCCGAGGAACATGCGCAACACAACAATTGGCCGAAGCAACACTACTTGCTTTTCCGTTGAGAGGCGCCACAATTGCTGTAATGGCAGAAGCATCGGATATCGCGGTAGGGGCTGTGCTCCAACAAAGAGTCGGTGGCAAATGGTTACCTTTAGGGTTCTACTCATAGAAATTTACCCCGGCCGAACAACGATACAGCACTTACGATCGCGAGTTACTCGCCATTTATAAAGCAGTCCGACACTTTCGCTACTTTTTAGAGGGAACGAATTTTATAATTTTCACCGATCATAAGCCGCTTGACCAAAAGTGGGAAAAGCTGTCACCACGACAAACGCGTCAGTTGAATTGCATAAGTCAGTTTTCGTCGGACATCAGGCACATTAAAGGAACAAGATAAAAGCATCGAGTTACAAGAGCTGCTAAAAGACGAGCCTACGGTCTTGCACCTACTACGTTGTCGTCATCCAGATACGGACATTGAGATAATTTGCGATGATTCAACTGGCACACACCGCCTCTATATTCCTGAGAGCCTGCGACAGGTGGTGTTCAACGCCAATCACGGGTTAGCACACACAGTGGCACACGCAACCATTAAGTTAGTTTCCAAGAGTTTTGTATGGAAGAGGATGAGCAGCGATTTACGGGCACGAGTACGTAGCTGCTCAGCATGCCAGCGTTGCAAGGTTGCATGACATACAAAAGGAGAACTGCAGACATTTACGGTCCCTGCCAAGCGATTCGAACACATTAATGTGGATATTGTTGGACCTTTTACGCCTTCGAGGGGGTATACGTATTGCTCAACGTGCGTAGACAGATTCCCTTGATGGATAGAGGTTATTCCGTTGGAGAAAATGACAGCTGAAACTGTCGCCAGAGAGCTACTCAATGGCTGGGTAAGCCGTTTTGGTACACCGAGGTACATCACCACGGATCAGGCATTCCCACGACAGCCGGTTCTACGTACCGGAATGACTCGGGTTTTACCCGACCAAGGGCTGTTGTTTCGGCGATCTAACCCAGTTTAGGTCGGCGAAGTATCTCAGAAGTTGTTCGTCCATCGGGCTACATTCGCTACGTTTTCTCCTACTCAGGGCTGGCATCGAGTCAAACCCAGGGCCAGAAACCTACACCTGCTGTGTATGCCAGAGACGACTACACCACAACTCCACCTCTGTCAAGTGCAATGCTTGCGAGGAGAGGTGTCACCTCAGAGTCTGCTCAGGACTACGGACACATCGGCCGTGGACCGAATCGTATGTGGCCCCCTGCTGCTCAAACAGAGCAGCCTCCACGGCTAACCTCAGTCCACCCGAGCAGCCTCACACAGTCAACACAGCACAACAACATAATAACACCACAGACCATACCACAGCCACCACAGACCATAGAACACACACAGCCGCACCACCACCCACACAACGCCGCCAACGACTCCTGGTTCCTCCTACAATCTGCGCGGTATGTCAGACCAGGATATTCCGTAATGTGACATCAGTCAAGTGCAACACCTGCCTTGGCTGGTGCCACTTTAGGGCATGCTCAGGTCGAGACTGGACGAGGAACTTCGAGGGTCCGTGTTGCTCTGCTCGGTCGCAGACCCCAACTGCGACGCCTCCGCCACCACCACAGGGCGGCAACCATCACAGCAGCGCACACAGCCAACGGCAGTAAGAACACACACATCCCTTACACCCCACATCACAACACGTCTCCCGAACCACATGAAGCTCCTTCAATTCAACTGTAACGGGCTACAGAGCAAGATTGAGGAGATAACCGTCTTTATGTGTCGGCATGGTATATTGATAGCTGCGGTCCAAGAGACGAAGTTGCACAGCAGTTTAACATTGTTGAATTGTGCCGGGTACAACGTGCACCGTCGAGATAGCGAGTGAGATAATGGTGGTGGCTTAGTGTTCATCACGCACCACACCGTGCAGTATCGTCTTATCGAAGTAGACATCGACCGCAGGGATACCACCCTAGAATGTCAGGGCATTGCTATCCGGTCAGGCGATGTTGAGCTCGAAATATTTAACATATACATACCCCCTGTCACCTGCTGCCCGGCAGGATATCACCCAGATATAGGTGCGCTCCTCAGAGGTGAAAACCGTATGGTAGTAGGTGACTTTAATGCGCACCACGATCTTTGGCACTCAAGCCTGTCAAACGATCGTAGGGGAACAGACTTGGCTGAGCAGATAGACGATTCGACATTCTGCACAATGAACAACGACGCACCCACCAGGATTATGGGTGACTGCAGCAGCTCGCCAGACATCACCATAGTCAGCGCTGGTCTGATAAACAGCATAACATGGCGACCTATGCTGACTTTAGCATCAGACCATTTTCCCATAGTCATCTCGATAGATAAACCAACCGACTTTGCCTCCGCTAAACAAAGGACCTATATCAACTTCTCTAAAGCTGATTGGAAAGGTTACGCGGAGTTTACTGAAAACACCTTCACTGCGCTTCCCACACCAACCGACGTCCATCTCGGTGAACGTAAGTTCCGCAGGGCTGTCACTGCTGCTGCAGCTCGCTTCATACCGGCAGGATGTATAACGGACCCACGTCCAAACTTCCCTGCCGAAGCGGCTGTTCTAGCCGATGAGCGCGACAGTCTTCGTCAGGCCGATCCCGGAGATCCCCGTATTAGGGATCTCAACGCGGAGATTCGGCAACTAGTAAACGTACATAAGCGGAAGAAGTGGGAGGAGCATCTGAAGACCTGTAACTTCGCCTCTGGTGTGAGTAAGCTTTGGTCAACGGTGAGGTCACTGTCCAATCCGACGAAGCACGACGACAGAGTCAAAATTTCTTTCGGCGACCATGCTTCGTCGGACCCGGAGCGCTACGCGAGCTATTTTAGCCGGCAGTTCATACTGCATCCTCCGGTGGACAAAGCCAAGCGTCGAGTGACCAGAAGGCTGCACAAACTGCCAACAACTTGTGCCCCCCTTGCTTTCACTTGCGGTGAAGTTCAGGTGGCCATCGGGAAGGCGAAAGCCTCCAAAGCCATGGGTCCCGACGGAATATGCATGCTGATGCTGAAAAATTTGGGTCCTGCGGGGGTAGCATACCTAACGGAGGTCCTCAACATGTCCATGGCCACTCTCATCATCCCAGACATCTGGAAGGTGGGGAGAGTGGTCCCACTGCTCAAGCCGGGGAAACCCGCCTACATAGGAGATTCTTATCGTCCAATAACACTCCTTTCCCCGGTAGCGAAGACACTCGAGGCCTTGCTACTCCCGTACTTCACAAACCACTTGACCCCAGCGAAGCATCAGCATGGCTTCCGTAAAGTGCACAGTACAACAACAGCACTTAACGCCATAAACACTCAGATAACTCGTGGCCTTAACTGTAAACGTCCCTGTGAGAGAACGATTCTAGTAGCGTCGGACCTGTCAAAGGCTTTTGACACTGTCAGCCATTCCACGCTACTAGAAGATAGAGGCTTCCTCTCTCCCACAGAGGCTCAAACGGTGGTCGGCAAATTATCTGAATGGTCCACACTCGTCGGTAATGTTTAGAGACAAATCGAGCAAACTTAGAAAAATAAAACAGGGGTTCCACAGGGTTGTGTCCTTTCCCCACTACTGTTTAACTCTTACATTTCAAAGCTCCCTCAACCACCAGAGGGAGTCTCGATTGTCTCTTACGCCGACGATTGCTCGATCATGGCGACTGGGAATGGAATTGATGACTTGTGTTCGAAAGTAAACGGATATTTCTCAGACCTTTCTCGCTTCTTCACTGCAGAGTGTCTAGCCCTCTCCCCTACGAAATCTTCTGCGACCCTGTTCACAACCTGGACGAAGGAGGTCAGGCTACCGCTAGGAATTCACGTCGATGACACACCAATTCCGATGGTGAATAATCCTAAAGTACTCGGAGTAACATGCGACAGCCTGCTCTCCTTCTCTGCGCACACAACCGCTATTTTCAATAAAGTACAGAGCCGCACCAAGGTCC